AGATAGACCGACGGACAGACAGATAGACCGACGGACAGACAGATAGACCGACGGACAGACGGTTATTTCTTATTTTTTGTAGCATCTAGTTTTCAATTTTCAGGCGTTTGTTGTGGTCGTCATGTTCTAGAAAATTGACTTGTTTGTACAAAATCTTAATATTTTTAAGTTATGCTGTAAGTTATTTTTCAGTAAAATCTCGAACAATTGTCTTGAATTCTCAATATATTCTTCAAAAGATGAGACAAAAAATACATAATGTCCAGATATTCTAAAGAACAGAGGTAGTCTTTACTAATAATAATGTTGTCTAAGCAATGAATCAAAGCTTTGGCAGAATTCTTGAAGTCAAATAGGGTTCGGTGAAAAATAGAACTAATAATGCGATGCATGAATCCAGTGTATTTTCTTGAATAGCGATCTTACCTTATTCATCTAGACGGACATCTCTAACTTCGGAGGCCGGTAGCACTATGAAATTATTAATGGCATTCTACTTGCTTGCGAAATAGCATAGTCTCAGCTTGCCATTCTGTTTTTGGACCAATGTATATTCACGAGTTTAAGTCCTAAGTAAAATATTTTCTGCTGCATAATATTTTCTATATAATTCGACCCTCAAAGAGGGAAACTACTGGTGCTAAAACAGCAAATACTTTCTCGGCCTTACATAATAGAGTGCACCAACGAAATCTCTCCGAAGCGGTACCAGTAGCTGGTGAGTGCTCGCAACAGAAATTATGTTGGTAGCACGAACTGCAGCTTGTAATAAATGTAATCAAATTACTGACTCGCCACAATTATAACAGATGCTGGAAGTGTTGTCCCTTTCACTTATTCCCCATTGGTCTGGTTGCTACGAACAAAAAATGAAAATTGTAATAGGAGCGTCTGTTTCGAATCGGCGCGGAGAGACTTTTTTTGGTGTTCAATTTTGAAATCGCAATTGCTGCCCGTCTCAACACATCTCAGTAAATGGGCGCATCCGGCAAAAGGCGCTGGCAACAGTAGGCGCATATTTTCTTATCAATTCTAGCTAAAAACGCTATTGTTGAGATAAATGAAACGTTTTTAGTTTTCATTGTGGTTTTAAGGCGGCATTTAAAAAAAATAAGGTCGCTTTTTAACTACTTGGTCATATTGCACACTTGCTACGAAAATGACAACTCAAAATTTCAGCTTTTTCTTAAATCACGAAAAACGTATGTGTCAATAACGAAACATTACTAAGACAAACAAATTTATCTACATTAGCGATAATGGATATAAATCCAGGATCAAATGGTGTTTTAGTTATTTCTAGAATAATCCCAAAGAACTGCCCTTTGTTTTAGTTAAGCCACTTTTAGTATCTTAATCAGTCATACTATAGCCGTTGATTATTTGAAGGTCTGACACTTTTTTTAGAATGATATGTATACATTTATGTCGCTTTCAAATGTTAAATTTATCCTTTTTGAAAATGTATTTCGAACTAAGTCTCATGCGGATAGGACTCTCTGACGTATATGCAACAACATGAATGTCACTTATCTCCTTCAGAACTGATAGTGGTAACAATTGATCTTATTTCATTTCAGAATTTCACAATGGCTGGTGCATTCCTATGACAATTTAGTTAATTAAGTTATTATAGAGGTTGGTATTATGGTATTTTATATTGTATTACGGGGTGACTCCCCTTTTCTCTCTCATTCAGACGTCTATGCTGCCTGAAGAGAATAGCCCGAAGCGCGAACCGCGTACTAGCTTAGGTGGCTCAGGGCATCAATTGATGTTTTTGGAGTAACTCTAACCGGATGACCCTAGGTTTCGAGTCCGAACAGCTGCAGAATTTTCCGACACTAGCTAGGTCGAAATCAGCCGCTGTCTGGAGAACATTTCCAGCGGCCAGCTATTCTGAAGGGTAGTTTTCCGTGGTTTCTCCGATCAACATTAGGCGAATGCCGGAGCAGTAACTAACAATCAGGCTGCAGACTCACACTTTTGCACGCGCTGCAACTACCACACCTGTCGGGAGCTTCGAGCGTGTCCCGGCAGCGGTACTTCGAAGGTAGGAGATACTGTCCTTTTCGGGGAAAAAAGCTCCGGAAGGCCACGTGTAGGTCAGCACCGGACCTCGTCATCCAGCGGGGGAAGATCGCCGCTTCGCGCGATAAAAAAGAACGCGAACTGCACTTACGGGAGCAATGCCCTTCGCAGTCGCTCGACCAGTCAGCGCGCGCTCGTGGACTCACCGAGTGCCGTAGAGCGCGTCGCCCGTGCGCGCCACCAGGGGCTGCCTCTCCTCCGCGGCCGTCGCGCGCATGGTCTCCGCCCTCGGCCCCGGGAGCGACTGAGCGGCGCGGAGCGGAGCGGCCGGCGCTCGGTCGCAGATAGCCAGCCACCCCTTATCGTGGCCGCCCGGAGGAGAGGAAGAGGGGCTCGCTCGCTCGCTCGATGAAGCAATTTTGACCGCCGGGGTTTGCACGACGCCCCGGTCGGACCGTCCTCTTTTGGGGGCCGGGGAAGGGCGGGTGAGGTAACTTTGCCCGCCGCGGTTTGAACGGCACCGGACGAATACGCTGAGGTTGTTCATACGAAGTTAGAAGAATCCTAGGACTGTACTAATAATTCCTAAAGGAAGACCATATTTTACACTCAATGTAAATGAAATTTTGTGACTTGTCGCTTTTCACCATTCCCACGAGTAAGTATCCTGGCTTAGAAGTCCTGGTAAAAGGTAAGGGTTTCTTCTATGTGCATATCTCAAGAAGTTTACGACGAAAAAAACCCTAAAATATTGATCATTAAAGATCCCTTAAATGGCATCGAGCCCGTACATTAATAAGCTAATAATTTTTACGAAATAATTACACACAGAGTAGTTTGGCTTTGGGTAAAAGTATTATATATGTAATACAGCTCAAATAAACATCAAGACTTTATTTAACTCACCCTCAATACGGTGGAACGAAGACTACAATAATTTGTTCAGTACCTGATCTCAGAATCGCTGAAGTGAATGGGTAGTTAGTGTTTACTACTGCATCAACTTCCTAGCTGATTAATCACGTGGGTGTAATACATTTTCTTAGCCGAAAGGTGGACAGTGAGTGAGTGATTACTCGGTGGCGGATTTTGATGACCTAAAACATCGCAAAAATGCTCTTAAAATATTTTATATATGCCCTAAAAGCAAAGGAA